CGCCTGTGTTTCGTTCGAGGCATATAAAATTTGGGGTTGCAACAGGTTCACGGTTTGGGATTTAGGATGCCAGTGGCATTACACTCCTCGTCTCTGAAGCCACAAGTTGTTTATTCATATTGTTTTGTCGAAGGAAAATGGATGTTTTATCTTACAAGAAGGTTCGTACAAATGCAAGTCGAAGTTGCCGTACTACGAGTACTACAGTACTACTCTTGGTGGCGGGGCTAGGCATCGTGGACTGACCAGCGCCAGCTTGGCTTGCTTTCTGGATTGAGGGTTTAGGCTTTCGGGTTTTAGAACTCTGCAGAGGTATTTAAGAGGTTTAGTCAGGGTTTTGGTGTTTAAAGGGCTTAGGGTTGACGGGGCGGGTTCAAGGGCTCAGGCGCACGAGAAATAGGACGAAGAAAGAAATGACGAGATTACACACAGAAGCCTTCGTCATACGATCGTGCACACAAGTCACGAAATTTGCAGTTTCACTCGCGGCACACACACACAACGTTACTCTGGAGCGTTAGTGGCAACACCGATGCTGTAGCCATCGGCAATTCAGGACAAAGGCTACTGTGGACATATGAGGTCAGCTTCTAGTGCTACATGACATGACAATTTGAAGCTGTAGAAGTGGGGGATCGGAAAGCGTCCCTGAGTTGGCGAGCCCACGAGAGCAGGTGGATGTGAAACACGTCATTCTTGGAGCCCCGCACTGGTTCCTGTTACGACGGGCGGCCTGGGGGGTGTTACAGGAACTGGTGGTTGCTGTTGTGGGCTCGGTCCGCGTTCCTGCTACCGGTTCGCGTTGCAGACATCCTGCTCCCGTTACGGCCAACAGTCCTGCTTTCAACAACCATCCGTGAAGCACTCAGAGCAGTGCCTCCCAAACCGCTGCTGCATGAGGACATAGAAGACGACGAGGGCTTCGTGGCTCCCTTCGCCGAAAGGATGTTCGAGAAGTTCGGGTGTAGGGCGCCCAAGATCTGAGCATTTCAGGTCTTCTTAGAGGTTTAGGGCCGCGCTTTAGAGTTTATGGCTCTTGGTCTCATGTGCGCAAGTGAGGGTTTCTGAACCCACTTCCTTTAGGGCTCGCCGGCGCAAAATAGCGGTGGTTGATGGGGGCTCTGCTGTCGTAGGCGAGTTGGGCCTTCCATAATGGGCATTGGCCTAGGCTAGAGGGCTGCTCGAGGTAGGTAACCTCGCCTGCACCGCGAACCCCTCCACACTTTGCAGCGTCAAGCCCTCAACCCTCCTAAACTCGAAGGCAGAACCCTAAAAAAACCTTTTCATGCCCTGACCTCTCAATACAAGAAGCGCACAAGGCTCTTAAAAGAGTGATTATGTTAGAACCTACCTGTATTTTTCGGACACAATAATCAACCCTCCCTAAAACCTGAACCCTAGACTTTACACAACCCATTGAAACACCACTATCAAACCCCCATAAAACTGGACCCCTTGCAAATTGAGCTGTGACCAGCCAAGGGGATCAGGAGACGGACTCAGACCCTGAACTTAACAGCGTTTAGGGTTTAGGCTTTACCTGGACCCCAACAACCCCACCTTTTTAGGGTTCCTAAATATGATTTCCTTATCCAAGAAACCCACTTGTTCAGGGTTCCTTATATGATTTCCTTATATACGTCCTTCAAAATAGGCAGGCCATTTGGGTTCAGGTAGGGACTGAGAGGCGCAGGTCTCCCCTGAGTAGACAAACCCTAGGGTTTAGGGTCTAGGGTTTTGTTAATCCGAGGGTTCAGCTCTGATACTGCCACTACTGGAAGAATGAATGGACCCTCGGATCGTTTTGGACCTCACCTCTGGGCTTCAATTTGATGTACTCCAGTCTGAGGGTTTGTGGGCTAAGTGTTTGGGGTTCTGGAGAAGAGTGAGACGAGCAACAAATTATCGCACTTGCCAATTCGATGTTCCAACTTTGCGGCCCCTACGAAATTAGCAATTTATGCATGGAGCACTTGAGTGCGGTGATCAGGCGCAGTGGCGGCGACAATGCTTGCAGGGTTTAGGGCTCCCTAAACCCTAACCCCCTAAACCCTAACCCCTAAACTCTAAACCCCTAAACCCTAACTCCCTAAACCCTAAACCCCAAGGGTTTAGGGCTTAGGGGCTTTCGGGCTGAAGAGTTTCGGGTTTGAGGCGGTTGAGGGTTCCAGGAAAATGAGGACTGACACGTCATGATGACCGAGAGGTTCGGGTTGAGGGATGATGAGGGATTCAGAGCTCCGGGCTCGGGTGGGGTTTAGGGTTTAGGGTTTATAGGGATTAGGGTTTAGGGGGTCCAGGGTTTACCTCTAGGCTCCATTGCAGTTCCTTGGTTTGGGCTACCGGGCTTCTTTGAACCACCCCTCTGGAGCACGAGTCATGTCCCATCTCTCGCAGACGGCACAGATTGACAGCTGCTGCCAATGCACATCTGCAACACAAGCGTCTAATAGAGTTTGCAGAGAGCCTGCTCGACCCGTGCTGGAAATTACTTTGAGTAAATACTCCCTAGCTCGGTGCTGTTGAGTTCACAAGGTGAATGGGGCTCGTTCTGTCTCAGGGCACCTACATGGTTCTACCTCCAATAGCAGCTACTTATCCACACGTTGAAGTTCCAAGCATATCCCGCTGGTGTGTCAAGTCACCTAGCAGAACCCTAAACCCTAAACCCGCTCTGATGATTAGCGACTGCACAGAGTCCCAAGTCATTCCGGGAATCTAAGCGGTACTATGGGGACCTTGGCCATAGGGGTAAACTACTTCTTAGTGTAGTCTTCTATATTCCGGGATCGTAAGAGGATCTCAATCGCGCCACTCCACTTGCATGTGGGTCTGCAGCTCGCGAGACCGGTTGTCCTTGAGGTGAGGATCGCAAGCAGCTACCATGAAGTACCCGAGACACTTGTCTTCATTGCCCATCTCAAGAAAATGTTGCATCTCACGTGAGCCTCTGGCTGCCTCATGCCAAGAGCTCCAGTAGCAAGCAAGCTCTGGATGTTGGGAGGCTTGAATGTGCATGTTCTGTACTGCGCAAGCTGTGGCGGCCATCTCCTCCCACTCTGGCATTCGCTTTGACCCCGCCTGTCTCTGCATGATGATGGCAATCATGAAGGAAACGGGCCCCCAGCGCCCGGAAATCTCCTCCTCTGTGCTGTGCCGCCATTGACGATACTCTGCCTCTGAGCCCCGCTTTCCTGAGGCCCAGCCCACTTCCCGCCAATTGGCATCATAGTAGGCCAGCGTCATCTTCTGCATTTCCACCATTGCAGACCGACCGAGAACTACAAAGCGCCATGGAGGTCGTGGGCCATGAAAGGGAGCCCACATAGCAGCTTCTAGCAGGCTCTGCACGATCTCTGGACTCACTTCCCGATCCACGTACGATCTCGGGAAAACAGAACGTCTGGCCCGAATACATGGCAGCACCTTCAGCGGTCTTTCCTCATGATCTTTCGGCTCCTCCACCTGGAGGGTGGGTTGGATGGACCGATAGACGAGCAAAACAACCAGGAGGCCTCCTCCCAAAACCTGCATTGCCGAAGCCCTGGACTCCTGCAGGGCCTCGAGCACCGTCCGAATCCGGGGGAGCCCCATGGCCCAAATCTACACGGCGTTGCTGGGAGGAGACGCTTGAGGCTATCAGCTGCAGGGCGGCAGCGTGCAAGGAAAGCCCGATTCCCCACGAGCCCCTCTGTAGGTCTCGGTCTTCTGTTACACAAAAAGTAAGGCTACTTTTAGGGTTTATAAAGTTTAGGGTTACTAACCACTAAATAAGCCCAGCAGCCCATCATTTAGGTAACTGGAGCCGCACTTGGAGGTTCATGGGTACACATAAGTGGAGTTATAAGTCCCCGAATGTATAGGTAAATGCCATAGAAACCCTGCTTATAACTCTTCTGATACCTACCCATGAACCTCCAAGTAGGGTAGCACTGTACACAACCACAGCGCTGAACCAACCCATGTTTTAAGTCTCCGAACCTGCCTCAGACCAGAATGCCTTTGTGCGATAAACCCCAATGAAGTGTAAGCAAGGCTGGAGATTGGGACCACTCTCTGACTGCCAGTAGACATGACCTCACAAGGCTGGAAAACGATAACATCCCTGAAAGCCTGTACTAGGAGACTTCAGGTGCGGCGGACGCCGTGTAGAGGACGTACTACGAGTCTCAGCTCTTCGCCGTGCACGGTGTTGCTGAATAATGTCGTCTTTGCTTTAGGGTTGGAGTTTAGGGGACCGCCTTACTTCCAAATAGAAGCCTCCCGATTCCCCAAGCACGGGTGAATGGCTTCGAGCGGCAAGAGAGGACAGCTTATGTTGCACTTTGGGGCTCGGATGAAGAACGTGGAACCGTTGCAGAACCTCCTGAAGTGGATTGAAGTATACTCCACAATCTGTGCTGCGACCCGAGTCGCACTAGAGATAGGTACATGTTCACCGCCAAGCACTTCATCTTACACAATGCTGGTGATGAACTTGCATAACATTCGTACCACTTCAATCTCAACAAAATCCCCGAGTTGCTCTTCACCGTACTTCTCCCAGCTGTCTAGTTCATACCGCATTCATGTTGCCGGCCTGCTTCGAGGAAGACCGCGAGCGAAAGTTCAGCATGGCCACAAGCGTCTCTAATCCCAACCGTCTTCGCCGAACACTAGAAGGACAAAAAATGGCAAAGAACTGTGCAGACATTCGAGCCTATGTGGATACCACAGCACTCTACTACCTGGAGTGTGTAGAACGGAGACACATGCCAACTAGCTCGAACTTCGTAGTCCTGTGTCTGCCACAGCTCCGCCTGTGTCGAGCCGAGAAAACACGAGTGGGGCTGGCAGCAACATGCCTGTCAAGCCCCAGGAGCCCAACCACCTATCTATTTTTGTAGATGTCTAAAGGTGGGTATATGTGTACGTATGTATGTATGTCGGTATGCATGTATGCATGTATGTATGTATGTATGTATGTAGGTAGGTAGCTAGGTAGGTAGGTCGGTCGGTCGGTGCATATATGCATATATACACATAGATAGATAATCAGATGGATAGACAGATGGATAGCTAGGTAGATAGATAGACAGGCAGACTGGTAGATGGGCAGGGAGAGGGAGGGCTAGTGTTCCGTAAAGCCTATACAATACAAAGCTTGTAGTACCCATATCCCAGTAACCTACTAGACAGGTATCTTGGCTCTTAGGGGGCTTAACCCATGTACCCAAAGCCCTTTTTCATAAACGCCAAATTAAACAACCACAGAACCACCATAAACCAACCTCAAACCGACAACAAAAAGGGCCTGAAGGGATACCCCGCAAAACCTTAACCCATGGATTCTGAAGGAATGTTTCGAGATCAACTAGGAGAGCTTGCGACTTGACATCTCTACAGGTTTTCGTCGCTTGCACTCGGACACTCCAGGCGAGGCATATCTGCAGTGTACAGGGTTTAGGATCGCAAAGCTAAACCCTAAACCCTAAGCCCTAAAACCCTAAACCCTAAACCCAAAGTTCTTTAAGATAATTTTGATGATTTCTCTCTCTCTCCCTCTGAGACGAAGGCTTGAAAGGAGCTCAGACGGCTGGTGCAGACCCAAAGGTCTCTGCTGGGAGGTTCATGATTCATGGGTTGCTATAAGTAGCTTTGAGAAGGTTTTTTTTTTAAGGGCCCTTCTCAAAGGTTTTTTCCCCCTTCTTAGGGTTTAGGGTTTACGCTCTGAGAAGGTTTAGGGTTCAGGGTTTAGGGGCTCAATGGGTAGTTATAAGTAGCTTTGTTAAGGTTTAGGGTTTAGGGTTTAGGGTTTAGGGTTTAGGGTTTAGGATTAGGCATTCATGGGTAGTTATAAGTAGCTTTGTTAAGGTTTAGGGTTTAGGGTTTAGAGATTCATGGGTAGTTATAAGTAGCTTTGAAAAGCATGGTTGTAGCCCAGATTGTGGGACTTATAAACCACACTTACGGCTGCCCAAGAACCTCCAAGTAGAGGCATTCAGGCTGCAACTGAGGGGTTGTAGCCTGGACTTGGACATGTGCTAGTGCTTGTTCATCCCCGCAACCAAAGCACGAATATCCCCTGACACAGAAACACTTCCTAAGAACACTAAATACAGCAGTGTGTACATGCCGCACGTGGTATCGCGAAACAGATTGTGCAAAGTGCTCATGGGGATTCTGAACCGGCTGGCTAGAAAGGAAAGCAACATAGAATTAGCCAGGGTTTAGGGTTCAGAATTCTGGGTTTAGAGACTCTGAGCAATCTTGGAAGCTCTCTCCTAAGAAGAGAGACACCACTGGTCAGTGATTTGAAACCTGATCCGTCTGCGCTCAGAAAACTCACGCCAGTCCCAGTTTGAAACGACTTGGACAATGGGCTCACCTCTCTCTCTCTCTCTCTCTCTCCTTGGCCCTGTACCTTAAAATGTAAGCCCCATAATTCCACCGGCACCTGCGAGGTTCAGCACCGTCACCCGTACCGTCGACGCCATGGCCGTTGCAGGCTCGAGGGCTGGGAAAGCTTCAGTTTCAACAGGTATTCTTGGGGCTCCAGATACCTTTCAGGGGAGTTATACCCAAAACCCAAAACCCTCACCTCTAAGCCCTCCTGTGCGCAAGGCCTCTAGGACTCAGGGCCATCTGGGGTCTGGGGGATGATGTGGAATGGTGAGTTAACGGTGCAACAATGTGCGTCGCCATCCTGTTCGCTTGAATTTGAGGGGTCCGGAGCCTGAGGGCTTCATGATGGTGCCCGGGCAATTACAGTTGCAGTGCTTGGGCAGTCATGGGTCGAGCTGGGCAGTAAGGGCAGCAGTCCAGTACCTTGTGAAAAAAAGTGCTTGGGCTTCATGGGAACATGGATTTAACTTGCGCCTCGTCCGGCTGAAGTCTGTTGTGCCGGAAAACAACGGTAGCTGCAGTGACGAACATGGTCTAACCCTCGCCCGCGACTCCGTGTCAACAAGCCAGTCAACTGCATTTCTGGGAGGGCTCAGAGTATACACGATCCAGGGCATCTCCTATACAAAGTCGAGACCCTACGCCCATCCAAAACCCAAAACCCTACACCCATCTCTGCCGTCTGGGAGCATCCCGCCGAACCACGAAACAACTCATGGCAGCAGCTTCCGGGACCGCTAACATGTGCATCGTAGTTTCCGAGCTGAGCTGGAGGACGGCTTAGGGTTTAGGGAAAGTTTAGGGTTTAGGGGTTTCAGGTTTAGGGGTTTAGGGGTTTTAGTTTAGGAGTTAGGGTTGAGTGGTTTTGGGTTTCGGGTCTTTGGTTCCCTTCGTGGCACACACCCATCACACTCCCGTCGTCTCAGGCTTAGGGTTTGTGACTGCAGCATTCGCACTGCTTCATCTGCTCAATGCCCCTGGGCAGCACCCATGTGTTCACACACCGTACTGCACAACTTGGTCACCCGAGGCCTTAGAAGCCTTAGACATCGGGAACAAAGGGAAGGGGGCTCACTTGCTGAAGAAAAATGCACAAATCTGCCCTGATCGTCCCTGCCCTAAACCCTAAACCCCTACAGCAGACAAAATAATCTGTAAGATGCTCTAGGCCTGAATACTTGCCAGATCGAACACCCTAAACCCTAAAGCACTCCTTCAAGCGAGGAACTTCGGGTCCTAGAAGCCGGGTTCCCCCAGGAAGAGCAGCATCTTTTCATTGTGAATTGTGACTCCAAAAACTAAAGCTTCGTCCTTTTACTGTTTATGGGCTCTTTTCCCGACAGTAAGTACAGCTAGAATTCCTTACCAGGATGAGCCGTTAGGGCTTGCGGTATAGGGTTTAATTAAAAGCAACTTGACAGCGACCTACTCAGCTGGCAAGCAGTCATCCTTCACACTATGACCCCGAATGCTGAGTGCTCTGCTGGATCGGGTAGGGCCGCCTTTAGTTGGAGAGGCACCTTGCGGGCCTCGACACAAAGGGCTCAAGCTTGTCATTCCCCCAAAGGGTCCATGTATACTAGCATTATGAAATGAGGTCCCAAGAGACCATCTTCAACCTGGTTTTGGGACCTTATTCCATAATCGCAAGTTATATGGACACTCTTGTTTCGGACTGTCTTCACCTTAGACCCTGCAAAGCCCTACCACCAACGTCACACCCAAACCTGAAGCGAGGAAGCCGAGAAATTGCGGCATCATCCATACACGGAATCCATTTCCAGCCAATTGTGGGTACAACCGGGTTCAGGTCTGGAAAGCCTTGGTTCATGTCCTTGTGCTCGTGTGTCATCAGAACACACGGAACCCCCCCCAGGCCGTCTTCCGTTATTATCATGAAAGTCCACGGCCCTTTCCCTGTTGTCCTTGCGTAAAGGCTCTAAGCTCAACCGGTCCGTCGTTGAACCCTAATTCATCGATCCGTTTTGCGCCTACCCGTAAACTCGAGGCCCGCTAAACCCCAAAGCCTTCCCCCTGACCCTGGTGCCATCCTGGGCGGATATAGACGTTGTGTGTTGGAAGCCGAGACGCGTGGTTTTCGGTTTCCCAAGTAATCCTGATAGAAGCAGGTGTAAATCTAGTGCGTCGGACTCGGCCCTTTAGGCTACCCCAACAGCAAATACCCCACAACTAAGGAGCGGGAGGTACCC